GTTTCTCGTTTCCCTTTTGTCATGGGGCTCCCAGGTGGGGTGACGGGGTGTCATTCTGTCCCCCAGTTTGTGGGGGTTCATTGTACCACATAGTTCAGTCTGTGGGTAGTAAGCAGCCTTCTTCCTCCATTTTTTCACCCATTTAAATGGAACTCCATCTCCTTGTTGTTGTTAGTCAGGAAGTCGTGTCTGACCCATCGTGACCCCATGCACAACATTCCTCCAGGCCTTCCTGTCCTCCACCATCCCCCGGAGTCCACTTAAGCTCACACCAACTGCTTCAGTGACTCCATCTAGCCACCTCATCCTCTGCCATCCCCTTCTCCTTTGCCGTCAATTGTTCCCAGCATTAGGGCCTTCTCCAGTGAGTCCTTCCTTCTTATTAGGTGGCCAAAGTATTTGAGTTTCAGCTTCAGTATCTGGCCTTCTAAAGAGCAGTCAGGGTTGATCTCCTCTAGGACTGATAGCCTTGCTGTCCAAGGGACTTGCAGGAGTCTCCACCAACACTACAATTCAAAAGCCTCAATTCTTCGGCGCTCTGCCTTCCTTATGGTCCAATTTTCACAGCCATACATTGCAACTGGGAAAACCATAGCCTTGACTATACGCACTTTTGTTGGCAGTGTGATGTCTCTGCTTTTTAGTATGCTGTCTAGATTTGCCATAGCTTTCCTCCCCAGGAGCAAGCGTCTTTTAATTTCTTGGCTGCAGTCCCCATATGCGGTGATCTTGGAGCCCAGGAAAATAAAATCTGTCACTACCTCCATTTGTTCCCCATCCATTTGCCAGGAAGTGTGAGGACCGGATGCCATAATCTTAGTTTTCTTAATGTTGAGTTTCAAGCCAACTTTTGCCCTCTCCTCCTTCACCCGCATCAAGAGGCTCCTTAGCTCCTCTTCACTTTCTGCCATTAGAGTGGTATCATCTGCATATTTGAGGTTGTTGATATTTCTCCCAGCAATCTTAATTCCAACTGGTGATTCATCTAGGCCCACCTTTCTCATTATGTGCTCAGACTTCTGAAGGCCCATTTGACTTCACATTCCAGGATGTCTGGCTCGAGGTCAGTGACCACCCCATCATGGTTATCAGGGATGTTAAGCTCTTTCTTGTACAGTTCCTCTGTGTAATCTTGCCATCTCTTCTTAAACTCATCTGCCTCTGTTAGGCCCCTGCCATTTTGGTTCTTTACCTTGCCCATCTTTGCATGAAACATTCCCTTCATATCTCCAATTTTCTTGAAGAGATCTCTGGTCCTCCCTATTCTATTGTTTTCTTCTATTTCTTTGCACTGTTCATTTAAGAAGGCATTCTTATCTCTTCTAGCTATTCTCTGGAATTCTGCATTCAGTTGGGTGTATCATTCTCTTTCTCCCGTGCCTTTCACTTCCCTTCTTGCCTCAGCTATTTATAAAGCTTCCTCAGACAGCCATTTTGCTTTCTTGCATTTCTTTTTCTTTGGGATGGTTTTAGTTGTTACCTCTTGGACAATGTTGTGCACCTCAGTCCATAGTTCTTCAGGCACTCTGTCTATCAGATCTAATTCCTTAAATCTATTTGTCACCTTTACTGTATATTCATCAGGGATATGATTTAGGTCATACCTGAGTGACCCAGTGCTTTTCCCTACTTTCTTCAATTTAAACCTAAATTTTGCAACAAGAAGCTCATGAGCTGAGCCACAGTCAGCTCCTGGCCTAGTTTTTACTGACTGTATACAGCTTCTCCATCTTTTGCTGCAGAGCAAAAGTCAATCTGATTTCTGTGTTGACTGTCTGGTGATGTCCATGTGTAGAGTCGTCTCTTGGGTTGTTGGAAAAGAGTGTTTACTATGACCATCATATTCTCTTGACAGAATTCTACCAGCCTGTGCCCTGCTTCATTTTGTACTCCAAGGCCAAACCTGCCTGTTATTCCAGCTATCTTTTGGCTTCCTACTTTAGCATTCCAATCCCCCAAGCTGATAAGGACATCATTTTTTGGTGTTAATTCTAGAAGGTGTTGTAGAGCTTCATAGAACCGGTCAACTTCAGCCTCTTCAGCACCAGTGGTTGGGGCATAGACTTGGACTATTGTGATGTTGAATGGTTTGCCTTGGATTTGAACTGAGATAATTCTGTCATTTTGGAGATTGTATCCCAGTGCTGCTTTTCCTACTCTTTTATTGACTATGAAGGCTACTCCATTTCTTCTGAGGGATTCTTGCCTGCAGTAGTATACTTGATGGTCATCTGAATTAAATTCACCCATTCCTGTCCATTTTAGTTCACTGATTCCTAAGATGTCGATGTTCAGTCTTGTCATCTCTTGTTTGACCACATCCAGCTTT